TAATCAAACAGTTATACTTTTTTTTGCGCCACCCGGTAGTAGAATTTAAAATAGCAATAAAATAGTCAGAATGTAGCAATAAAATAGTTATAAAATAACAATAAAATACCTAATAGTATATAAAAATAGTAGCACTGCAACATAGTTCTTTATAAAGTAATAAAATTGTAGTATGATAATTAAAACCAGTTAAAAAATAGTAATGAAATAATATCAAATTAACTTAGTACCATGGTTGACAGGTATATTATCGTTTAAAATTGTATAAAATAATACACATAAAACAGTTTGTATTCTTATTAGCTGTCAATGCTAGGTTGTGACAGTCTAACAGCGGCAGGGGTGGATGGGGCAGGTTAAGCAGTGTCAAATCAATGGCATTGTTTACAGGGACACCGGAACTGGGGGGGGGCAGGAGGGGCAGCCGCCCCCCTTAAAATTGTCTAGCTTGAGACCACACAGTTAAATATTGTGTGCAGAACTTAAAGTAGGGAGTGTTAAGGAAAATTACATCTAAATATGTCAACATGAAACATCATGGGCATGAAACATCATGAGTCTAGCTGGATACTTTCCTTGGCAAATATAATTGTCCAACATTAGGCAAGATACAGAAACACTTAAATATTAACAAACTGCTGAAAATTGGGCACTTCGGAGTGAAATGGGTAATTTCACCATTGTCGTGACTTGCCGGGTTGTGTCTAAAGATATATAAAATGCAGCCCAAAGGTTGTTACATGTATTATTAAGCAGATCATGCAGGTGGTATAGATAAATGTATTCATATATTATAAACTTTGAACAAGCAAACAAAGGACTTTGACTGTTTCCAGTTAGGGCACTTCCATAATCAAGTTGCCACACAACAAATTGATCAAATTAACATTTTACCTATTAACCGACCCACCCGGCATTAAAAACTTAAGCATGGCATACAAAGGAAATTGAAATTAACCCTCTATACCCCCATTCCATTGATATCCTAATACATTGTACTATTACCCTCAGATGTTAGACATGGTAAAATCAAACAGAACTGAAAGAATCCAGCTTTGATGCAACCAACACCTGGTGTTAGACTGAGAGTGAAAAAAAAATTAAAGTAGGGTATATAAGTGCTATAATGGTAAAGTGCATGAGACATCCTTTTCCGGCTGATAATTTCAGCAAATATACTAGATAGATATAAGTACAAAATAATATAACGGCATGTCTTGCAAATATAACGACATATCTTGTGAAACACTGCTGAAGGTGAATCATATTTGATTCAAAACATACAGTTTTCATAAATTGTGTGTTAATTACTATATAATGCACTCCTTATTCAGAATAACTTTTATTCTATGACTATTATGTAACTGAGACATGCACATTTAGCTGGGATATGCCTAGGTATTTATAAGCATATAAAGAATTGAGGATTGAAACTTGAGTAGATGCCAAGCTATAATATATTAATTTTGATACAAGAAACACTGCCACTGGAATCTGGCAATACACAACTATTAACTATTTGGCATTAGTTAATACAATAAACATAATTTAATATAAAGACTTCAGGAGTCAAATGTAAGCTTTGAATTAAACTAACGTTTTATATCATCGTTTTAAATATTGTCGCGGCAAATTCAAATTTTAAGCCGAAACTGATCAAGCACGTGCATTCTCAAAATTCAGGAATGAAGATTGAAGTAGAAAATATTTCCTTTCAAAATAGCTCTATTATACATAAAACATAACAAGATTCTTAGCTGGATATTACTCTGTCATCCCTGATGTTTCATCTTCGCTTATTAAGGCTTCATCTGCTCGGCAAATTCAAATTTTAAGCCGAAACATCAAAGGTCATCAAACACGTGCATTCTCAAAATTCACGAATGAAGATAGCAAATATTTCCTTTCAAAATTGCTCTATTATACATAAAACATAACAAGATTCTTACCTGGATATTACTCAATCATCCCTGATGTTTCATCTTCGTTCATTCACGGTTGATAAGGCTTCATCGGCTCGAAATATCGAGCGAAATATTGTAACTTCGAAATCACGAACTGATTATAAAAAATGGCGGGGTGTAAATTCAGTGCTTCCACTTTCAAAAAAATCATTTCCTTCCCAACTGCTCAAAATTTCCTTATTTTTGACAAAAATTCCTTTGATGAAGATGAATTTTACCTAGTTTAAAACTGATATTACAATAATTTATCCTGAATGACGGTGTGTTTCTCGGGTGAGAAACACCATGAACCTTGCAATTATAAATTATAAATTAATTATAAAAAACTGCAACAGGAGGCTTGAGGTCATGTCTCAGAAATTTTTCAGATTTTCCATTCCCCAGGAGTAGGATTTGGATTTTTGACATTTCCTGACGCAAATTTGCTTGGGAATTGCTATAATCTTAGGATTTATTAGAAATAACATAATATCCTTATTTCCTTGCTGAAAACAAAATTCCTTGCCGTTTCCTAGTAAATTTTATTTCTTTTTGCAAAGAAATGTCCTTGCAAGTGGAAGCACTGCATGGGATGACCAGTGTAGGCAACAGTTGAAGCCTCCCCCTTTTCTCACCCTCCGCCCCTCACCCCCCTTCCATTATTAATGATTGGTCCCTTATCTGTGTAACTATAAAATACGGTTCTATTTTATTTCATTTTGCTAACTAGGAAAATTCAGAATGTTTTAATTTAAATAGACTATTTTATACATATCTGCAAATTGTAATCCGGAATCCCGGTAAATGTAAAATAGGATTAAAATAGTGTATTTTATTATATTTTGCAAATTAGGGAAAGTAAATAGGTTTAGAATAGTATATTTTATCCCCATTTGAAAAATGTGGCAGTTTTAAAAATGTGCAATAGGTTTAAAACAGTCTATTTTATTCTGTTTTGCGTATTCTGAAAAATAAATAGCTTTAAAATACTATATTTTACATCTATTTTAATTTATGTAATATTCTGCACGTGCAAAATATGTTTAAAATAGTCTATTTTATTGTTATTTTGCTAACTATGAAAGAAAGATAGGATTAAAATAGTATATTTTATTCCTGTTTGAAATTTGTGCATTTAACTTCCAATGTAAAATAGGATTTAAACAGCCTATTTTATTTTATGAGTTTAAAAATAGTATATTTTATATCTATTTTAATTTCTAACTGCTTTCTGGTGAAGTAAAATAGAATTTAAATAGGCTATTTTAAACCTATTTTTTCTCTGAGGCTCTGGAAAATAGTATTAAAATATGCGATTTTATTTCTATTATCTATAAAAATAGGAATAAAATAAAATAAAACATTAATAAAATATGGCTCTTTCTTTTAGTGAAATATTATGATAGAATTAAAATTGGGTTGCCTCTGAATAAAATAGCATAAAAATAGGGATGATAGTAATAAAATAGTTTTAAAATAGCAATGTAATATAGTTATTTTATATGCTAATAAACCTACAACATTTGAATAATGCAAATAATAAATTTGCGTAGCATGACCATGATGACCTAGCTGTTGCTATAGCTAGCTTTGCCACAGAAAGTATTATAATTATACATTCAAAAGTAAGAAATTATAATTATTGAAGGTACTGTATTCATATTAT